AATTTAAATAGATTAATAATATAAAAGAATAGCTTAAGAGTTCTAAGGGTTTAATTAATAATATTAATAATAATATTAGTAATAATAATACTAATAATCCTTTATTACTAAATTATAGTACTTAACTATATATATTAAGGAAAAAAAAGAAGTATATAGAGGATAATATATATTAGTCTTATTAGTTTATACTAGAATTAATTATAATATATTAATATATACTTAAATAAATCAATAATTTCTTAAATTTAAAGTAAATAATATAATCAAAATACTTAAAATTACTAGGAATTCCTATATTATTTATATAGTTATAAGAAATTAGTATATTTATATTATTTAGTTAAAGGGGGGGGGGCTCGGGGCCCCCCCCCTTTTAAGCTAGGGGCCTAACCTAAAAGCCTAAAGCCCGCTATAAGCTTTAGGAATAAGCCTAAAACCCAACCCTTTTAAGGGTCGAGTTGGGTCAGGTTTTGGGCTTTTTGAGCTTTGCGGAAGTCTAGTCCAGCTATAGGGTTTGTCTAGCTATGGGGTGAAATATGTTAGATATTAAGAAAATAGCCTAACTTTTTATTAATAATATTATTTAAGTAATAAAGATATTAGAAATAATTATATTAAATAAAAGAGGTTAATTTATTTTAGAATTCTAGACTAAATTCTATTAAGTCCTTAAAATTAACAGAAAACTATTAATAGCCTATTATCCCTAAATAGATAGTTAAAGTAAGATTATAAATTAGTATATAGTATAAAGATTATATCTATATATTAAGTATAATCAGAATAATTAATTAGAAATCCTACTAATAATAGACTTTATAACTTTGATCCTTTTTTAAGATATAATAAAATAATTACTATTTTTTATTTAATAAAAATATAAATCTATTATATTATTTAATTAGAAAGATTAGAATACTTTAATATAGAATAAATAGAATATAATAAATATACTTTTTTAACTATAAGAGATTTAAGAAGAAACTAGAAAGTAGATTATTAAATCCTAATAATTATAGATATTATAGGTAAATAAATACTAATAAGAAAAAGATTTTAAAGTAAGTAATTATATTTTTATTACTATAAAAGATTAATAACTAGCTTATTTAATTAATAGCCTATATAAGATTATTAAGAAAGTTAGAAATATATATAAACTTAACCTATTTAATTTAATTTAAATATACTTTATCTTTAACCTAAGTAAACTAAAGAAAGTTATAATAACTAAACTATTAAATAGATAATACTTTAATCCTCCTCTACTAATATAGGTTAACTAAAAAGATAAATAAGAAGTTAAAAAGATATTAGATTTAAGAACTTACTACTAGAAACTATAATATTAAGTATAATAGCTAGGTTATAATATAGATTTATAGTAATACCTAACTAGTAATTTTAAGTATATACTATAGAAATTATAAGATTTCTATAATAAAGAACTAATAAAACTAAGTCCTTTTCTATAATTATAGAAGTAGATAGATATAGTATAGCATAATAACTTCCGAATCCTAGATAATTATATTAATAATAATAAACTAGTATTTAGGGACTAAATATATTCTTAGTTAGGGGTTATATTATAATCTAAGAGATAATAATCGTTATTCTACTATTATTAACCGCTTTCTAAGAAAGGATAAGCGAAGAAGGATAATATTTACCAAGATTGTATCAGGTCCCTATAAGGAATAATTACTCCTCAATCCTTCTTCCTTTCTCCTTTCCCTCTTTGTACTTAATATTCTTATTGAAATACACTCTTTGAATTAAGAACTAGCTGGTAACATTTTATATATAACTTTATAGTATAACCTTACCCTAAAGGTAAGTCCTTATCCTATTTTATAATAACTAATTTTATTTCACTACTAAGCTAGATTCTAGCCTAAACTATTTATAAAATATCCTTAATATAAACCTTAGTATTTATAAGTTCCTTTCTAAAGCCCTCTGAGGTTGTATAAAAGTACTATTATAGTCTAAAGTTTAAGGTTCGTTATACCGAATACTTATCTAAAAAGATCTATAACTAAAAGCTTCCCTAGCGCTATTTCCTTACGAATATAAGCCTCTTTTTTATAAAAGAGGGCTTAATTAGTATCTTCTATCTTAATCGCTGTTTTCTAAGTCTAAATCGCTTTAAAATTTAATATATAATAGAGGGTAATAGATATCAGGTTATAGTAGTACCTAGCTATTTATAGGTCTAAAACGGATACCGGCGGGCCTATAGATAAACTTAATAATAGGCTCATTTAGTAAGTATAAGGGACAGCCAATTTTCTTATAATTTTCTAATTTTTCATTCTCTAAGTAGCGTTTAATTATATTAAAAATAGTCTTGTAGGTATAGCCAAAATCATTAGCTAGTTAAACCTATATAGAGAGAGCTATTATTATAGGCGTATATAATAGCTACTCTTTGCTTAGTAGAAAGCTACGCCGATTTGCTATTTTTTGGTCCTATTTTCATTAGATGCGAAGCAGTGTGGGTAGTGTAGGAAGAAAAAAAAAACATGGGTTGGTTGCCGGGTCAAATTGAAGTGGGGCAGTGGGTAAGAACATATGACCAGTATCTGTAGGTTAAGATGTTTAGGCAATCGAAATGTATCATTGAGAGTGATTCTATTAAAAATCTAGAATGGCTCATTCTATCACAAGGCATATTGAAATATTAAATACATTATCACATTACTATCCCGAAGATAATAAGTGTCATGAGAAACTACACCCTCACTGGACGATGTCCAGGACCACTGTAGAGAAATACCCGAATAGGGATTTGAAGAGGCAAGCATAACGTAGACGAAGAAAAGTAAACATGCAAACGGCTTACTGGGCCTTCGAAACCTTGGCCTTGTTTTCCCTTCGGCGCTTCAGCGCCTCTGGGGTGTATTCGGTGTCAAGGCAATAATCCCACCACCGGAAGCTGCTGGCATAGTTGCCAATGAACTTCTCATGGTGGAGATCATGATGATCGGCACCAGCCCAGAAGGGAAGGAAATGGTGCAGACTCCAAGGTAATTCATAACCACTGTGAGCATCAATGGCCTGGAACAAGCGCAAGACGATCCAGATGTACATGGTGAGAATGTGTAGTTCACCTGTCATCGCACACCAAACGATCGGGCACCCGATAGTTCCGAAGCCCAAGATCATCACCTCGATTGGGGAGGCATATTCAGCAGCCAAGCCGAAAGGGGCCGAGTACTGGTGATGAATTTTGTGAATGGCCTTGTAGAGGGGACCCCAATGAAGAGCACGGTGGGAGAAGTAATGCCAGGTATCCTCCATCACAAAGAAGATTGCAATCTGATATGCCATGGTCCAAAGGGTAGGGAATGGAATCGAAGTTGAGAGTCCACAGAATTGTGCCAAGGGGTGGAAGAGCCTATAGCATGTATGTTAGACCCATTAAAAATTCCAGAATTCCAAAGAGATTATCAATTCGTACCAAATCTGAGGGAGTTCCACAGTGAAATGACTCAAGAGCACGAATTTGGCGCAATCCCACTGTTCTCGTAGCGATGGGACCTTGTTCTGCATAGTATTAGAGATGACCGTATGAACTGAATAGTGCTACTTACACCCTGAATCTTGTAGCGGTTGAACATGCCCAATGTGTCGATGAAAATCCAAGGCAGCGAGCGACCAAAGTAGACCAATTCATGCATAGCGAATGACATGATTCCAGTGGCCAGGACATCGTTCTGCATCCAAGCATACCAGGCTGCCCACAACCTCTCTGCCACATTCAGCTCCGCATTGTACTTGCCAATCTCCTCGAATTGGCCCCAGTATGTCCCTGAGGACAAGACCGTTGAATTCCTATATGGGATGTTAGATACTATAACAGGTAAAGGACATGATCACCATACATTGTAAAGGTCGTCTCTTTTCAGAATGCAAAGAGTAAGGAAAAGCAGAAATGAGGAAGTCAGAAAGGCAGAAAGGCAGAATGAAGAAAGAAAGAGGAAAGAAGATAATGCGCTGTGAAACCAAAGCTAGAGTGATTCTATCAAAGGGTTATAAAGAAAAAAAAAAGGGATACCTGGGTAAGATCAAGAAGATCAAGGACAGTCCAATCCCGACGTGGCGAGATCATCTTTTTTTTTTTCCTTCCCCCCTGAACGTAGGGGTAAGGCCACTGGCAAGCCGATCCCTATCCGAGATCACCCCACCTGCATAAAATCAGGTAATGCGGATTTCGCTGCTTTTTGTTTGGTTGAAAAAAAAAAAAAAAAAAATGGGGACTCCAGCAAAAAAATCCAGACCGTTTACTAAGACCTATTTCTATATATATTCAACATACATCTTACGATATATATATATATTTTCTTGAGACTTGAAAATAATTTGACTATGTTTTGATTTTGTAGATGACCTCGTGACCCAGTATGTTCTCTACTGTGTAGGCTCAAGTACAGTTTGCATGATTTGTATATAATGTTTGCACTGTTTACACTATCCCATGCATGACGACATCAGCCTCAATCCTGCAACTGTTGTTCCCTACGATATTCATACCGCTCTAGGTAATATGGTCAGCTTTTGCGGGTAGCTGTACCTCATACCATTGGAAGATCCTGGGATGTCTATTATACGAGAGTGAGTGTGACATAACTCCTAAAAAAAGAAACATTGTACTTAAATTGATTTTTCCCCCCTACAGAACTGTTTGTGGCGTCAACACTCAGATTGATCGCCTTCAACAACACATCTCAAGCCCACCGAGACTGGAGGCTACAGATTTATCCAATGAATCTCTTGAGTCAATTGGCCAACTGCAAGATCTCATCAACTCCATTTCGGTGACTTCCAAGACCCAATCCCTTCTACCTCCCACTCGGTTGGCAGATTTACTTTCAGATACTTTCTCTCGCCTCCAAGTACAGACCACTCTCTATGAAGGAAATAGTGCACAACTCTCGGACCATGTATGGATAGTGGCCGCAAAGGCTGCCATTCAGGCATCCGGACTAGTCATGACCACCCTCCTGGATCAAACACTTCAACTTCACGATGAGTCCTATTACTGGGGTGAGATGCTGGGGTCAATCTGGTACAGTGGTCTGTATGCTGTTCAAAAATCTCCAGAGCAACTCTGCCAGTGGACGAAGGATGTATGCATCGCTCAAACCTACCAAGGAACTCCATCCATCACTGCCAGGTGGTCTCGATTTTACCAGATTGCGCGCCAAAGTGCTTGGGGACTCGGAGGACACTCCATACGCGCCCATTTGCTGTCCCCAATAAGATCATCCCGGGCTGAAATGCGACAGAAACGAGACTTGCTTATGAAAATGAAAGACCTCCATACGAGCAGCCTTGGCCTTCTAATGGAGGGATGGCATCTTTTCGAAGCGAATGACTCCTCGACTTTAAACTCTGGGGCTATCAGCACCCAATGGTGCGATGCAGTTTACAGAGCAGTGGTCCTAATCGAAGCCATCTTTCATCATATAGCACTTGAGCCTAGCACCCACGAATTGGAACAGGGAGTATTCGCCACACTAGAGGGGGGTGTTGACAGCATTGAAATGCACACACGAGGGGAGAACCCGGTGCATAAGCCTTTGGATTTGATCGAGCGACTTATGCATGTTCTTCGAGAGAAGTTGCCAAACCATACCACGTCAATGTCATTATTCATTCGTCGCCACGGGCGCCCCTCATCCATAGTCCGCTATTGGTTACCAGTCTCGGCCGCTCTCCTTTCAGGAAGTGCATCAATGAGGTTTTTGGCCAACCGACAAGAGGAAATCACCCAGTCGATTGTCGATATCGGTTCCACCACTATCGATTTCTGGGGTAACTGGGTCGTGCATCCAATCCGAAAACTCATTGGGACGATCAGACATGATGAAAAAAGCGAGATTGCGATCATGAGCAAGAATAGCCTGCTGGCTGATCGGGCGAGTCTAGAGAGAATGGTAGTGGATTTTGTCCGCGATCGCCCGGATCTTCACCAGGGTGTGGTGGCGGATACCACCGCCATCGTTAATTCTGTCAAGGAGGGTGACTTAACTCCCGTTCTGAAAGCATATGAAAGGGACCTGCGGTCGCCATTTGTTGGAACCGTTAGAGGTGATCTCGTCCGTGCTCTTTTAATACAGATTCAGAAGACGAAGGTCGACGTGGAAATTGCCATCAGTGGTATCGATGCTTTGCTGAAGAGCCAGGAGCTTGTATTTGGGTAAGTTGGGTCTTATCTCTCCATTTTTCTTTTCTAAGTATCAATATCTTCTAGGTTCGTTGGGTTGACTCCTGGGATCTTGGTTTCCTTTGCAACTATGAGGTGGCTAGGTGGTCTTCTCGGCAGCCGACGAGGATTGCGAAAGGGCAAGCAGCGACATAAACTAAGACGTGGATTACGGTATGATTTTCTCAAACTGGCGTGCAACCTTTCACAAGGCCAATTCTGATACTTTACATACAGGAATGTGGCTCGCATTTTGACCTCTTCTGCGGTTTTATCCAATGGGACTATCGCTTACAAGGACTCTGGACAATTGATCTGCGAGGCAGAGGCTCTCCTTCAGCATGTGAGGATAATTTCTGGAAGCATGCAGTACGAAGAGTTCCGAGAAGACATCCAAGATCTCTTGAATGTCCAGAACGGAGTGGACAAGCAACTTCGCGTGATCGAAAGAATGAGATGGGCGTATTTCCAATAGGAATCGGTGGCAACAGGACGTATGAGCATATATGAAATCTGTAGTTACGCAAATCATTCATGGGAGCTCGGAAATGTATAATATTGTAGAATATTTGAGGCTTTCGGTGACATTTCCATATTACTGTATTATATATGTAGTCAAATTTATCTAACATGAATAGATGAATAATTTTTAAGTTATATCAATATATGTTGATATATGCCAATATACCAATATGTGCCTATAGATTTGAAACACTTAGGTGTTATCCCCCATGATGCTGCTTACATAACATACCGAGATCCTCCTTACCGTACCGTCATCACCTCCACTCCGTAGGTGGTGCATCGTTCTCCTTTCCTATAAAACACTCCAAAATCTTTAGCTCATGTATGCTTGATTGTGGATCCCTGCTTGAAGTTTACAATCCTGTCATACTACTGTCCTTGTATCAACTTGGGTGGATCCCCGGTTCCAGCATTTGACAAAAGCTCCTGATAAGTCCTCGGGGCAACTTGGGAAAACCATCGACCTAAACCACCTGATTGCTCCGATTCATCCTGCAGCAGGATCTACCTCTTCTGCTTTACCCCAAACCACTTCATCGATATCAACACCCCTTGTTACCTGACTTGACGAGTCTCCGGATCACCTCGGTCTCCTATCCATCTTCCACGGTGCTGCTAGCTTCGGCGCTTAAACTTCTACCCAAATATCGCCATAATCCATAATGGCTGGCACACGGAATTATGATTTCCTGGTTAGTGTCCACGGCCATTCAAACCCCAACAAATCCCCCCCCCCCAAAGTTCTGATAGTGTTAACTTCCTCATAGATTAAACTGCTGTTGATCGGGGACTCGGGCGTGGGTAAATCATGTTGTCTGTTGCGATTCAGCGAAGACTCCTTTACCCCATCATTCATCACTACAATCGGGATTGACTTCAAAATTCGTACGATCGAGTTGGACGGCAAGAGGGTGAAGTTGCAGATCTGGGACACTGCAGGCCAGGAGCGCTTCCGCACTATCACGACTGCATACTACCGAGGTGCCATGGGTATTCTGCTGGTCTACGATGTGACAGATGAAAGATCATTCCAAAGTAGGGCTCTCCCCCCCTCTCCTTATCACCTGGGTGTGTCTAACCTTTCTTTTTTTCTTCTTTCTTTTAGACATTCGAACCTGGTTTTCAAACGTCGAGCAACATGCCAGTGAAGGTGTACACAAGATCCTCATCGGAAATAAGTGTGACTGGGAAGAGAAAAGGGCGGTCTCCACCGAACAAGGCCAGCAGCTCGCCGATGAACTCGGCATTCCCTTCCTCGAGGTTTCGGCCAAGAACAACATCAACATTGAGAAGGCGTTCTACAGCCTTGCATCAGATATCAAGAAAGGGATGGACACTTCTAAGACCGAACAGTCTGGTTCTCAGGGCGTTAATATAGACCAGCAAGGCTCCGGTCCGAATGGCAACTCTGGGGGCAAGTGTTGTTAGTTGTATCACCATCCTTTTCTCTTTTGCCCATGATCTCCCTTGTCGTGTTTTAAGCTACCACATGTTTCTTATTTCCCCCCGCGCTTTCTTCTTTCCCGTCGATATCTCGTTTTTTTTTTGTTTTGCTCGCTACATCATCATGTGCCAAGATCTGAATGTCCAAGTTTTATGCCCGAAGAGTTGGCGCCTATGGACATCCGAGTATCATACAAATTTTGTCCATACTTTTGTTTCTTCTTCTTTTTTTTAAAAAAAAAGATCCTATGCTTTTATTGAATGTAAGTATATGTGTAAGTTAGAATGTAGTTAAGTACAATGTACGATGTAGATGTAGGTAGCTTGTCTAACCGGGTGACCCACTTTTTCTTTTCAATCTTTCCATCCTCTTTTTTTCTTTTTTTCTTTTTTTCTCTTTTTCTCTTTTTCCTTTGGAGAATCCTCGGAATCTTCTGAAATTCATCTTAATAGTTTCCTTGTTTCTCTTTCAATGGACCTGGATTGAAGTCTTGTTTTAACACGGGACAAATCTATTCAATTTCACCGGAGTTGCCCCTCCCCCACCAAAAACTCTGGGATATTTGGATATTCAGATATTCAGATATTCTTTACAACTTTCAGTGTTGAGAGGTCACATGCAGTAAAATCTTCGTCTATGATTTCAAGTTCCTAACATATCCGACACAGAAAAGAAAGAGAGACCAAAAGAAAAAAGAGAAAAAGAAAAAACACCGAGGTCTTTTTTCAAAATCATGTCTGACGCCCGCAGTTTCACTGCTCGTCCATTGTCAAAACAGCAGGCACGGAAGGACTTCAAAGATGCGTTTCGTGTCTATCTATCTTCCTCTTCGCTAGCTGCCTTAAGGCTTCAAACAGAGAGCATCTGCACGCTTAGGCAAGGCGATGGGCCACCGCAGACTGCCATAGCATGGTATGCCTCAGAGAACATTCAGAGCACAGTCATGCAAATATCAAGGACACTCCAGGAATGCTATGACATCAAGATCGGAGAGAAAGTTTCTATCACTAGGGCTGAAGGCCCCTTAGAAGACATCGACCTAGTGACATTGGAGGACTGTTCAGATCTCGAGAAAATTGCCAAACATGGCTCAATTTCAGAAAGCGACAGATCCCACTGGGAATGGGCCCTGGATGAAAAGCTTCTCCGATGCGGGTCTTTGACGACGGGCTTGACTTTTGAGCTGGAGCTCAAGGGCCAGCCCAGGAGCTTTCGAGTGGTTAACATTCATTCACAGAACCCTCGCTCTAGTCATACTCTTTTTCAATTCACAGAGGCCTCGAAGGTTTCCCTTGGTCCAGTCACAGAAAGAAAAGAAGAAAAGTCTTCAGGCATAGCGGTGCAATCCACTGGCCTTGGAGGCCTCTCCCGCCAGATTGACGACATCAATGAAAGCTTGTCCGATTTTAACATTGATCCGCGGAAACCCACGATGCCATCTTTCTACGAGAACAGCCGAGGGATTTTACTTTATGGACCAAAGGGGACTGGTAAAACAAGTCTTTTAGAACAGATTGAGAAGGCTGGCTGGAAGCAAACCTTCAGAGTCGGCATGTCAACTTTGGGGAGAAATATCAATGAGGGCGAGGTTAAGCTGCGCAATATCTTCCAGGAGGCGGCTCGCTCTAAGCCTAGTGTCATCATCATCGACCAGTTGGAATTCATTGCCCCTAAGCGAACCTCGATTGAGTCTCAGTCCCTTGCATCTGTTCTTTGTGAGAATCTAGATGCTATCCGAAATACATCGATTCTCGTGGTGGCCGCAACAAGACACCCCAATCAAGTCGATGACGCCCTCAGAACTCCCCATCGACTTGGCACAGAAATTGAGATACAAGTCCCTACCGCTCAGGACCGAGCTGAAATACTACATGCCATTCGTGGGCCAGTATCTGCCGGTTTGACCGACGAGCTGGTAGAGCTACTCGCAGAAAAGACACATGGATACGTTGGAGCTGATCTTTTCGCTCTTCTGCAATTGGTCTGTCGCAAAGCCCGACAACGACAACTGTTGGTCCAAAATTCCACAGCCAGATCGGCCACCCCGATCGACCCATATAGCTGGCAACAGGGAGGTCCCAGCGATGATGAGTCGACCATTTCATTGGAGATACAAGAAACAGATATTCTGCTTTCCCTGCAAGAGATTCGTCCCACGGCTATGCGGGAAGTATTCTTGGAAACCCCAAAGGTGAGATGGTCAGACATTGGTGGACAGCATGATATCAAAAAACGTCTCCAACAAGCCGTTGAGCGACCCTTGAAGGTAATATCTGCATTCAAATCCCAGAAAACCCTTGCTTTGAAAACTAATCTTCTTTTGCACCCCCTAGTATCCTCAACGGATGCGCAGACTTAACGTGAATAGTAAGAAGGGTGTTTTACTTTATGGACCACCAGGTTGTTCCAAGACACTGACAGTCAAAGCCCTAGCCACAGAGGCGGGACTTAACTTCCTGGCAGTCAAGGGTGCAGAGATACTCAGTATGTACGTTGGGGAATCTGAGCGATCATTGAGAGAGATCTTCAGAAAGGCCCGAGCAGCACGACCAAGTATCATATTCTTCGACGAGATTGATGCCATTGCTGCTCGACGCAGCAGTAGTTCAGGAGGAGTCAATGTTCTTACGACGTTGCTAAATGAAATGGACGGCATTGAGGAGCTCCGAAATGTCTTGGTCATTGCTGCAACAAACAAGCCCGATGTCTTAGACCCTGCATTGATGCGACCCGGGCGATTGGACAATATTCTCTATATTGGCCCTCCGGACTTTGAGGCGCGCAGGGAAATCCTGCGCATCTGGGCCAATAAGTCTGTGGTGAACCCAGAAGTCGACCTGGATAATCTGGCATCTCTGACTGATGGATATTCTGGTGCTGAGATTGTGAGCATCTGTGAAACCGCTGGAGATGCAGCACTTGATGAGGAGGAGGAAACACAGCAGGAGCAAGATGTGCAGTGGAAACACTTTGAATATGCACTGGGACAGGTGCGGCGGCAAATCACGGATACTGTTATCCAAGAGTATGAGAGATGGAGAGAGGGCTAGAATTAAATAGCTACATATGTAGACTTTGCTGTATAATAAAAGTTACAAGTCCTTGAAGTGAGTTGAAGAGAATTCAAGTCAGTTGAAGTGCGTATAAAGTGTCCCTAGGTGATTACCGAATTAGGTTAGTGCCAAAATGCATAATATCCCTTCCCTCAACCTCCATCTCCTCTCCCCCCCCCCCTCTCTCTCTCTCTCTCTCTTGGCATACCTTTCGATCTCTTTTCAACTATTCAATTTCAATTATTGTTTAATCCAGAGCTCCTTACTCTACATATCCAATTTGTACTACTTGAAGCCCTAGAATCCATCAGGCGCGCTGTGCGCTGAATCTTCAATATGTCCTTGAAATCACCTCGTGGACAATCACCTCTACCTTCACCCGAGCAGGAGCAGGAGCAGGACCGAGCGCGGTCGCGGTCGCGGTCTTTACGTCGCTCAAAACCCCGAAGTGAA